CAAGTCCATTAAGTCAAATGACCTTTATTCTAAGTCTTTGGTTTCGGTCATGAGGGAAGTGGACATTCTCTTTTTTTTCTGCTGGATTGGAACCTGAAAACACATACACCAGGGAAGTATCTTCCTTCTGAGACTGAAGGGACTATTAATTCCAAGCCCATGTTCAAAGATTTAACTAATACTTAATGCATATAAAACTGGCTGCAGCCTCTAGTACAGGGTTTGCAAACTCAAAAGCCTTCAGGGACCAGAGCAATGACACAAACTGCAGAAAGCTATCAGATGTGATATATTAATAACAGGGAATGATGGGAAGGACAAGGCTTGTCTTTCCTAAACACATTTAAATTACAATTAAAACAAATACAACATTAGGTCGGCCAAAGAAAACACGTTGACATTAGGTGGGCTGGCAACATAAAATTCACTGGCATTGTGTCGGCTGGTTTTCTACCTTGCTTTACAAGGACCTGAAAGCCAGCTACTAACCCGACCTTCAGCAATTCCTCTGTAGTAAATCTCTTGCAGCCCAGTCATGATTTTAATAGACTTGGGATGCGGTATCTTCTTCCTCTCCCTACTCAGGTCCAGCTCAACTTAAGGATCATGCTAACATCTGTAATCATCTTAAATGTTGCATCTGTAACATCTTAAATGTTGTATGAAAAATATCTTGAAATAAACAGCATCATCTTCTTCTAGTTGTTATTTCTAAAGCTGAAGAAACACAAAATCGAAACATTAGGGCCAACTGCATTGCTGTCAAGGGAATTTCTTTAATGGTTCTGTGTCTTAAGGGGCCCAGGTGTTTTCCAGAACAGCTCAACCAACTGTGCTTTGTTTGGAGCCTTGTAAATTTTTACATCTGACACAAAACATCCATCTGCCCCAAAACTTGATCTGTTTCCAAATATACCAGAAGCACAGGGATCAATTAAATATTTTTCAGTAAAATGGGAACTGAATAAAACAGAGAAAAGTTAATTTATAAGGAAATGTGGCTATTTCTGATATTTATTTCTTGAAATTGGGAAATGATGGTAAGTTTCTCAATGTAGAGTGGTCATGCTTAAAGGCTCTTTCATAAGTAAGATTAGATTTCAAGCCACAGCTTGGAGGTTACCGATTCAGTCGAAAACAAGACACGCCTTCCCTTAGAGTGTAGTCAGTGGAGAGAGCCCCTTCTGAGTCAAGTTTGCTGCTTTCCCCTTAGAGTTCAGTCAATGGTGAGAGCCCCTTCTGAGTCAAGTTTGCTGCTTTCCCCTTAGAGTTCAGTCAATGGCGAGTCAAGTTTGCTGCTTTCCCCTTAGAGTTCAGTCAATGGCGAGAGCCCATTCTGAGTCAAGTTTGCTGCTTTCCCCTTAGAGTTCAGTCAATGGCGAGAGCCCATTCTGAGTCAAGTTTGCTGCTTTCCCCTTAGAGTTCAGTCAATGGCGAGAGCCCATTCTGAGTCAAGTTTGCTGCTTTCACCTCAGAGTTCAGTCAATGGCGAGAGCCCATTCTGAGTCAAGTTTGCTGCTTTCACCTCAGAGTGCAGTCAATGGCGAGAGCCCATTCTGAGTCAAGTTTGCTTTCACCTTAGAGTGCAGTCACGGCGAGAGCCCCTTCTGGAGTCAAGTTTGCTGCTTTCACCTCAGAGTGCAGTCAATGGCGAGAGCCCATTCTGAGTCAAGTTTGCTGCTGTAAGTAAAAGTGAATCTTTTTTCTGATAGGCTAAGATGGAAGCTTCCTTGCTCTCTGTAGATTTTTTCTTAAACCCTGAACCTATGCATTTACCAGAATTTCTAATTATTTACTGTCAGTGTTTGGACAGTTTCTAAGGCATAGAAAGAGTGGTAAATTTGGCTCACCATGAAGCACTGTTTGTACTCAAAGCAACCTGGGATTTAAACACTGAAATGCATAAATTAGGAACACTCCTGGTGTTATTACTAACAGCTTAATATTCTGCCAGAATGAAAGTGTTTTTTCCATACGAAGACTTGTGAAAATTGATAAGAATTGCTTTGAAACCAAGGGAGGCCCTGAGGAGGACCCACCATAGGAGGAGGTGAGAGCACCCATTCATGCCTGTGATCTTCCCTGGTGATTAAAGTCCCTCTTCCTGTCACTGCCCATCTGTGGGCTCCCACTGAACTGCAGACACTGCTGTCTGCTCTCACCTGGGTGAGAACACACACCAGGTTTGTGTTCATGGGAGCTTCTGGTCCTGTTAAAATAATGAACACTAAGGTTTCTCAGAGAATTACTTCCTCTGATGCTATCTTTTATATACAAGAATAAAAGTTCATGCATGTTGTCAACAAATGTGCATCAATTAGTCAGTGTTCTAGAAGCTGGGAAAAATGGTCAATAACTCTCATATCACCTATTCAGGGAATACTGCTTATGAAGCAAAGGATGCTGTGCAAAGACTCTCTGCAAGTACTCCCAAGAGACAAATTCTGGTGGCTGCGATGATAGCAAAGTGGACTCTATGTGATATATGACTTCAGTGTTAATTTAAATTACTGAAAAACAGTTGTTCACGTTTTAAAAAGCACTACTTTTACAAAACCCTTTTTAGATGACAGCTGAAATTTTTCCTATTTCATGACATACATATCAGCTGTACCAAGTCAGTTATCCTTGCGCCTTTCTGATAGACACAGGTGAAGGAGCTTGACAGACAAGCCAACCTGCCTGACATATTAGCATACGGCTCTGATTTTAAGGAGTCCTGGAATGCAGTCTGCAAGCTCGCTGAGGTGACGATTTGATGAAAGTAAGACTTAATCCCTGCAAAGCCTGGTCTAACTTCACATCAGGGATTGAAAATGCTGGCTCTTGGTGGGTTACATTTTCAGAAACGAGGTAGTGCTGTAGACTCAAAAGTAGGGAGGGCTCCTAGCTATGGCAACCTTTCCATGGCCTTGAAGCCACCCCCCACCTCCTGGGGACACGCTCTTCCCCCTTTGGCATGAAGGGCTCCAGTGAGGTGCTGAGTGCTGGAAGCAGGGACTGAGGTGTTGGGAAATTTAATTAGCGTGTGTGAAACAAAAAGGGCCTATGGCTTAAAGCCACTCCAGAAGTGTGAAGAATAATAATGGCTTTTTGAGAACCTCCATTTCCCAAGAATAAACAAGCCTGGGGAAAGATGAGTTGCCTAGCTTTTTGTTGTTGGTTTCTTCATTTATTTATTTTTTAAAATTTTTCAAGTCTTCTGCTGGTAAGACTTCTACAGTTTTTGCTAAGAAACTTTTACCTTTACCAAAATAAATATTTCTCTTAGTATAGTTCTCTGCCCAGAGCAAGGATTTGCTTGACCATGAAGAAAACTAGTACATGGATCTGTAGTGGAAGTGCCATTTTTTGATCAAATGCTACATTTAATAACAAAAATATTATAACTCAGAGACTTTTTAAGGCTTCTATGAAACTGTATCCAACTCAGCAAGCCCACGTAGAGCAAGGGCTGGAAATGAACTCAGGATCATAGTTTTGGGTAGGGGGAGGTATTATGGAATCCACTACAGGTACAAAGACAGGTGAAAACAACTTCAGCTTAAACAAATTGTGGCAAGTACTGTAACAGATGAATCCCAGCTACTGTATCTAGATCAGGTTTTTCATAGGAGGAATTTGGACTGTACCTCAAAAGACGAACAGGACTTTCAGAAATGAAGATGATAGGAAGAGGATCCGAGGCAGAAGAAAGTAAGTGAACAAAGGTATAAACGTGTGTTTGGGGAGAGTGGGTAGAAATGTGACTAACGTAGGGAGGCCGGTGTGGGAAAGACGGAGGTCGTGGAAACGTGGAGACGCCAAATCCTCTCCTATGAAAGAACTGAGACTTTCTTCAGGAGGTAATTGGGGGAGGGGAATGGGGGAAGCCGCAGGCAGCTGTTGAGCAGAGCAATGCAGTCATCTGGGTTGAACCCCAGAAAAACTACTGGCCAAAGGATTTAGGATGAACTGAAGAAAGGAGGGCAGAGTGAGAGAGGAGAAAGCCAGGGCTCAGCAGAGGAAGTAGTTATAAAGCAACGCAAGGAAGGGACAGGTGTGAGACGCCGCAAAGACTGATCGCTAGCATGTGGACACTTAGCAGATTTTAAATTTCAAGCGTGAGGAGGAAATCAGATGGTAAGATGAAAACAAAGGAGAGGAATGATGAGAAGTAAAAGGGATCAGAGCTACAGTGAACAAGAACGGCTAAGGGCAGATTCAGCACACCCAACAGAAAAAAAAAAAAAAAAAAGGTCAAATTAGTCAAAATAATTAATTCTTTTGATTTTGTATTGCATGCTACCCACTTTTTTAAAAAAAACACTTTAAATGTCTGAAGGTAGAGGCTAAGGCAGTCTAATAACCCTGATATTAATTTGGAAGAAAAGTCAGCCACGGAAATATTTGGAAATACATTGTTTTCAATGTGTGTTTAAATTTTACACTTTTCTATGCCAGAGCATATGGATCCTTACCATTCTTTTTAATAAGCACACTCACTGTATAGCTGGATGTGCCACAACTTAATTTATCAGCCCCCTTCTGAAGGGCAGTGGGTGGCAAGAAGAAAAATGCATGTTGTTGCCGAACTCCGAGAATGTGCACGGAAAAGCTGATGCCTCACATCCCTCCGTGGCTCATTTCCTCCCTTGTGCTTTTTTTGACTCCGATTCTGCCGGAAGAGACACAGGGACACAGAAAGCAGCTGTCTACCCTGGCATGTCCCTCTACTGTGCTTTTTCTTCCCCTCACAGCGGGCGCACACTATTCCCACCAGGCAGGCTATTTGCTTTTAAGTGTATAAACTGGCAGTTACTCTTTGATGTTTGTTTGGCACTTAAACAGAATCACAAACAAGAGGGACCACTTTGACCTTGCGAGGAGCTCCCAAATTACAGCCAGGGGCAAGGCACGCCTCTCTCGGTGACAGTAACTGCAAAGAAAGACACCGCCTCACGGACAGATCCTAAGATATCTCAGAAATCAGCACTTACTAACATTTGGGTGCAACACACCTCAAACTCCAGATAGTGGTCTTTCAGTTTGTACTCATCGACATCCTTGGCTTTGACCTTCTTGTCGGGGGGATACGAGCGGTGCTCGGCCAGCTCGGTGGTGATCTGCTTCAGCTTACTTTCATGTGACTTCAGTTGCTCCTCCTGCAGGAAATCGTGATGCCATTTAGTGTTCAAAAAAGCAAGTCAGTAACAAAGCACAGCATATTAAAAAAAAATCCCTTGTGCTGAATGACTTTAACTCACTAAACAGCCCAGTGTGCCTCTGCTGCCACATCCTTCCAGCTTTCTCCCGCCAGTGTCCACATATTTCCTATATTCCTTCCCAGGATGGCAATCAAGGCCAACCTCTTTAACTAGGTCCCTTGTCACAAAACCAAATGGCTTCAGAGCTCTTTATCCGGTGTAACTGCCCCTGAGTCGGGACCAGGACTTAAGAGATACCCTGACAGGCATGTCACCAGCTGAACAGTTAAGCACCTAGCGTGGAAGCTGCACACCTTGGCTTCCCCATTTCATGCCCACTCAGCAATGCTGCCAGCTTTCCCGTCCCTCGCAATGAATGAACCGTATATGTGCATAGTTTGTTTTCCTTTTTGAAAGAAGCAGAGCTATGAAGAAATAGTTCTTCTCTGAAGCTTATCAGATGATATTCTAAAAAATGCAGCTATCTTGCTTCTCTCCAAAGCAGCAGAGTTCTTCGTTCCTTCAACTTTATTGACTCAAAGCAGCAAATCAATTAAAATGAATCTACCTATTTAGCAATTATTGCCTTAATAGCATTATTATAGGTACCATGTACCAATGCAATATGGTTGATCCTGCGTCAAAGGACTTCCATTCTAAGGGTACCATTTATATCACCTTAGCAATAGGCTACCTAAAAAGATATGTTGCCGAACCTTCTCCCAGCATTTTAAAAACATTCTTGGAATTCTCTTGCATTCTTGAAAATGTATGACTCCTTACTGTTCTAGTTTCACATGCAAATTATCCAAATTTCACACGTACAATAAGACAAATGGGTGAAGGCAAATGAAACAGATCTGATTAAATTAGGTGATAAATGTATTTCATATAACACCAACGTAATTGCAGAATACAAAAATCTTGTAGAATGAGGAGAATAATTTTTTACAAAGCCAGAAAATGGATAACTATGGACACTATACTAAGATTATATAACATTATCGTAAATTAAAAAAAAGATGTCCAGAAATTATGAGTGTCATATGTAATATCTTAGAGACTTTTGTAATAATTAAAAGCCAAACAACAAAAACAAATTCCAAGTCAAAAACCATCAAAATGGAAGAAAACAATGACAAGTAAAAAGCAGAGTACACGAATGGAAAAATGAACAAGAAAGGTGGCATGAACATGTGGAGTGATCTAAAAATGACGAGATTCATTTCTAAACGTCAGTTATAACAAAACAAAACAAAACAATCTGAGAACTCCCAGAAAAGGAAGAAGGAGAAAAGAAACCTATTTTGAGATTTTAGAAAGGAGTCTACATCTCCAAACCTATTATTTGTGTACTGATAATGCTGAATGTCAAAAATGCTTCAGGTAGCTTTTATTTACAACTTCTTACTCAGCTATTACTTTTACCCAAGGGGACTATCAACTATGTTATGGATTGAATATGTCCACTCAAAATTAACGTTCAGTGTAGCTGTACTTGAAAATGGGATTCCTAAATAATAATGGTCAAATGAGGTCATAAGACCGGGGCATATATCCAATAGGATTAGTGCCCTTATAAGAGGAGACACTGTATGCAAGTACCAAGGGAAGGCCATGGTGGCCATCCACAGCCCTAGGGGAGAGCCCTCACTAGACATCAACTCTGCTGGCACCTTGATCTTGGATTTCCAGCCTCCAGAACTGTGAGAAAACAGATGTCTGCTATTGAAGTCACCCAATCTATAGCATTTTGTTATGGTAGCCTGAGCTAAGACAAACTATATCGAAAGTTTTTATTTCTTTCAAAGTTGTTTTCCTTTGTGTATTTACTGCAATATGTAAATTACCTAATAGACTTCCTGACAAATGCTATTTAGTGACTAGACCACTTCAAAAAATAAAAGCAAGATGTATTTTCCTTCTTTTCTAAAAAAATTTCAGTTATATAAAAAGTCATATTGAATGGTATATAAGAAACACATATCTAACATAGGAATTTAAGAAAAATTTAGGAAATAAAATATAAATAAATTGAAATTATCTGCACATGTATGTGCTCATCTCATTCCTTTTCACTGTTATTCATATATAAAGGTATGTAACCATAAAAATGCAGAAGTGTAGCCAGGTGCTCAGTGACTCACGCCTGCAATCCCAGCACTTTGGGAGGCTGAGGCGGGCGAATCACAAGGTCAGGAGTTCGAGATCAGCCTCACTAACATGGTGAAACCCCGTCTCTACTAAAAACACAAAAATTAGCCAGGCGTGGTAGCACATGCCTGTAATCCCACCTACTCAGGAGGCTGAGGCAGGAGAATCACTTGAACCTCGGAGGTGGAGGTTGCAGTGAGCTGAGATCGTGCCACTGCACTCCAGCCTGGGTGACAGAGCAAGACTCCATGTCAAACAAAACAAAACAAAACAAAACCAGAAGTGTATTCTCTAGGTTTTACACTTTATATAAAAACTAATGAAAGGCTTTCTTTTTTTTAACAGAATATGTTTTTAAGATTTATCTACATGTATGCTCTAGTTCCTGTCTTTTAATCATTATGTAGTACTCCATTGCAGGACACATAACAATTTTGTTTAAGGATATTTAGTTTGTTTTCAGGTTTCCTGTTTTGGGATTATTTTTTTTCCCTGTTATAAATGATGTTGCAAGAGACATTCTTACACATGTCTCCTAGGGAATCTGAACAAGAGTTTTTCTATGGTGTGTCACCAAGAGTTGGCAGTTCTGGGTCTTAGAATATGCACATCTTTAAGATGACTGTTTTCTAAAGTGTTTTTATGTGTTTACATTTCCACAGCACGTCTGAAATTTCTCTTTGTTTTATGTCCTTGTCAAAATGTGATATTATACGTAGTGTATATTTTTGCTAATTTCATAGGTAAGAAATAAACCACTGTGATTTGAATTTACATTTCCCTGAATATGAGCGAGGATGAGGTTTTGTTCATAGGTTTACTGGATTTCCTCTTCCGTGAATTACCAGACCCGTTTTCCTATTGGGTCGTTTGCCTTTGAAAAAATAGATTTGTATCAGTACAACAGGTATTTACAATGTATGTGAAGAAACCAAACTCTTTATATCTTTGGCTAAGAAATAGTTAGAATCCAATAATAGAATCCAGTTTATTTTTTTAAAAAATAAGATTTTAGGTAATTTGGTAAAAGAATTTGCAAACTTCTATTTTTTTTTACTTTGGATCTATGCAAATACGCTTTTAGATGTTTGCTACTTCTAAAAGCTTTAGATTTAGGCTTTCCAATCTTGAATATTCAAATGCCTCTTTTTCTGTTGAATAAATCCCAATTTCTACTTATTTTAAAGAGGAATACAGGCTAGAATGACAATATGCACAACACCTTATGTTTTGCACTTTCCTCCCCATACCAAGACTTGCCAGGGTTTGTTCACTGTTACCAAGCTATGTTTCATAAATTTGTTTCTACAGTAGCATAAAGGGCTAGTCATTTAGACTATATTTTTATGAAGGAACTAATCGAAGAAGTGCTGATGTTCAATGAGAAATGCTTCATGACTATTTCACTGCCTTCACAGAGCGGGAGTCAATAAACTCAAAATAAAGCATTTTAAAATCACATTTCCTTAAATCTGTCCATTTTGAACAGTGAAATAAAAATGCCAAGTGGCTCTTATGGACATAGCTTGACCATGCAAATTATTCCAGTGCTAGAATCCCATGGTAAGAAAGATACAGATTTTACACACACACACACACACACACACACACACACACAAAGGTAAAAAACAAAGGGAGAGAGAGGATGCAGCCATGGAGCTACCACATTCTCAGACTCAGGACAATTACATATGTCACAGACATGATGAAGAAAGACAAAGTAGGACTTTGCTTCCCTCCCCCGCTTTTATCTTTGCTTTTACAATTCTTTAGGGATGCATACATACTGTTTTTAGAAGACAATATAGCAAAAGAGATTTCAGAGATGGCAGAAAAATATTATATCTGACAAAGAAAAGGCATGGAGATAGAAAATAGCACAAACTCATAAAATTGTTTTAAGCTAGGAAGTGACATTTAGAAAAAAATTGAAACTACTAGATACAAGAAAAGTTGTTGTTGTGGTTATATGCCAATAGATTTAAATCATTAAGACCTTTCATAATATACACAGTAACATTTTATCTAAAAGGTAAGTTTTTGAAGTCACTTAGGATTTCCTTTACTCAGATTAGGGGCTAATACCCAAAGTATATAAGGAACTCAAACAACACAATAGCAAGAAAACAGAGCGATTAAAAAATGGGCAAAGGACCTTGTTACGGTTTCATTGTATCCCCTTCAAACTTCACATTGAAACTTAATCCTCATTGTGCAGTAGTAAGAGATGGTGCCTTTTGGAAAGTGATTGAGTCCCTCATGAAGGGATTAGTGTCTTAATCAAAGTGCTGGAGGGATCTAGGTCAGGCCCTGTTTTGCTCCTCTGTCTTCCGTCATGTGAGGATACAACATTTGTTCTCACAAATGCTGTGAGGAAAATTTGGAAAACTGTATGAAAGCTCCTTAAAAAACTAAAAATGGAATTACCAAATAATCTAGCAGTCCCACTTCTGAGTATGTAGCCAAAGAAATGAAATCAGTATCTCAAAAAGATGTGGCATTCTCATGGTGAGACCATGCTGTATCCTCTTCAAGAAGAGGGAACAGCTCTTGGCTGCAGCATTATTCACAATAGCTAAGATCTAGAAGAGATCTAAGTGTCCTTTGACAAATGGATGAGGAAAATGTGGTATATATACATAATGGAATATTACTTATTCAGCCTTAAAAAAGAGGAAATTCTGTCATTTGCGACAACATGGACAAACCTGGATGACATTTTGCTAAGTGAAGTAAGTCAGGCACAGAAAGACAGATAGTGGATGATCTCATACATAGAATCTAAAACAATCAAACTCATAGAA